GCTGTGAAAGTTAGATAATACTGAACTAGATGTTGCATTGATCTGAAACAAGTTTGCATGAGTAGGACTGGTATGCAAAGATCATCTGCCATTCAGCAAGCTTGTTGTGATATGACAGATCTGCGCTTCCCATGAAATATGTCCCTTGAACATGCATGTTTTACTGTGTATGGTCACACTATCATAAATCTCTAAGATAGCAATGGCGTAGAGTTATTATATGGCAAAAAACAAGAGGATCAGAGGTGTGGAAGGATAACTTTTAAGTTGCTTCATAGGCATTAGGGCAGGGTAGTATCTTATCTTCTGGAACCAGCTAGGAATGCATAACGCACAACAGTGAAGCATATCTGTGGGAGGCAGGACAGAACATGTTTCCATGTGTCATCTTCTGTTGCTAAGTAGTCTTCATTTTAAATAGTTTAAATTAAGGCGGAAAGGTGACTGACAACTGCTAGGAATATCACCTGTGGACAAATGAAACTTGTTAGGCTAGCTGTTTCAGGAATGGAAATGTTGGCATATTTATCAATTGTATTAGTCTATATGACCAAAATACATCAACTATACAGGAATAGTGTTGCAGTTAATATTTCTAAAGTATCACTCTGACAGACAATAACTTCTTTCTTCCCACAGTTCTTTTAATTGTAGCTTACGTGATAATATAAGCCAGTAGAGAACATAATTCAGCAAAAGCAGAAAGCCAGAAGATTGGCAGTTTATTTTGTTCATCAGTCAAAAAAATTAATGTTTCTTTTTGACTTTTCTGAAAAATCAAACTTATCATTTTAGGTAATCAAGATGATTTACTAGTAAGATAGCTTTAAACTGGCTTTTGTAAAACTAAAGTTACATGACTGATAACTTTATTTTTTATTCTTTTTGTCTCTTCATTGAATGTTATAAGCAGTCTAAAAACTTTACCAGTTATCAATAACAACTATTTTTAAAGTCTGAAATCTTTTATGGCTTCTGCCTAGATTAGTTGCATTTAGTCATACAGTCTGAAACCCATAAGGTCTTCTTTTAGGCAGCCTCCTGTATATTTTCTGTTTTCTATATAGACATATAATCCCTTCACATTTGTGGGGGTTAGTGGTGCAGGACCCCCATGAAAGTGGAAAAACCACAAATATCTCTACCCCTCCCACCCCACAGACACACTCAACAGTGCTTCCTCTTTGCAAGGAAATGCTGGAGAGATTTCTTTCTCCAGATGGACGGGGCAGGAAGGCATGCTTTGGAGATCTCCCTCTCACTCCTTTTGCTTCCTATCACTCTATGGTGATGATGACCTACTTTTTAAAATTTTTAAAAAACCAATACGCTTTATGGCAGTTCATTTGTAAGTATGGCTTGTTCATAACTCAGAGGTTCATAACTTGGGGATTGCATGGGCCCCATCCTTCAGACACACATTTTGTCATTCTAACACAGGATACTTGTTATCCTGGGCAATACTATTTATTAAGTCCCTGATGCTTAATGGTTATTGTCTTCAGAAATCATACAGCTTCATGAGAGTAATAGAGCTAAGAATTAGTTTAAGAAAGAGTCAAAGCCTTTTAAGTACATTTGTACCAGAGATCAATTTAACGCCTGCTTCCAAGATGCAATCTCTGCATTGCAGGATACAAGGCAAGGTCAAGGATAACAATAAATCCAAGCTGGATAACAGTCCTGGAATTCAAGAAGGTACAAATTAAGTTACAGTCTATAAGCCACAGGCACAGATCAGTTCAGCAAGAGAATCTCTGTCAGAATTTCCATGAGATATGTGTCTAGGCACTGCATGATTAGTCCAAGATAGAGAGAATATGAATGCTAGGCAGTTGAAGTGTTTCCAGTCAGGCACTCTCTGGTCCATGCTCTTAGGCAGACAATATCCAATTCTCAAAATTACACCAGGCAGTCCTTTACCATGTTGGAACTGTACTATAACCTAGGCCAAGGGTCAGCAACCTTTAACACTCAAAGAGCCATTTGGACCCGTTGCTCACAGAAAAGAAAACACCGGGAGCCACAAAACCCTTTTGACATCTAAAATGAAGATAACACTGAATATATAGTTTTTTACCTTTATGCTATGTATAAAAAAGCTATAGTGTGTTGCATTTATGAAATCAATGAACTGCTACAGAGAAAACAAATTTTTATTTCTGCATGCAACAAAAACTTTTTGAACTCTGAAAAAAAAAGACGCTGGGTTGAAGGTTACTTTCAAATAAACTACTCAATGTCTATTTGAGTCCTCATATTTATGAAATAAAAAGCCGAACTTAAATTACCCACCTGCAGCAAACCAAAAATGCCATCTGCTTTTGTGTGCCTTCATCCTTTTATCACGTGTACTGGAAGGTGCAGTCAGCTGTCAACCTGAATAAAAAAAGGACTAATTGATATTTTCATACAGTAAGTAGTTTCTGTAATACAACAAATATAAATAGTCTGGTGAAATACTGAACAAACATTCCTCTCCCAGTGTAATAATGTTGCTGGAATTTTTATAAGAATATTCTTAAAACAAGGAAGTAGATCTATATCTTCATTATGATTTAGCTGCAGCTCTTGTTCAGTCACTAAAAACTTATTTCTGATCTTACATTATAAACTAGTAGGACTCCTTTCATATATTTTGAATAGGAGAACAGCTTCCTGCACAAAGTCAGTGCTAAAGGGCTGCATGCATTAAACAGCAAACCCCATAAGTTCATCAGCAGTAAAAGCAAATGAATCTACCCACGTTAAACATTCGGTTTTCTTCAGAAACTTTTCTTCGATTTATCAATGGTTGGCCTAGCAGGAGAAAAAGCTCAGTAAATTGGCACGGGTCACAGATGGGCGGCTGTGCCAGCACCGGTCGCAGATGGGCGGCCGTGATGCATATTTTGAATGACGGAGCCGCAGCAGAGGGATTCAAGAGCCACGTGCGACTCCGGAGCCATGGGTTGCTGACCCCTGACCTAGGCAGACTAAAACACAACCATCACAATGATCCCAACCTTTAAAGAAAGGTTAAGTACAAACAGGAAAGTGTTCCAGGCAATAGAGATAATGTTTCCAATATTACATTCCATGGCAGCATATTAATGATACAAAGTTCAAATAGGCAACGTGACAGATTGGCTAGAGATCCCAAGTCCAAACATCAGGGATTTGAGGCAAAAAAGAAAATAGTGTTCTTAGCAGTGAAGTGTAGCCTTGACCCCTGCTCAAATGAAAGTGTCTTCCTTCTTGATGAATCTAACTGAATCTTCCTACAGAGACTCTGTCAACTTCCTTAGGTGTTGGCATATTGTTCAAGGTCAAACTTTGCAAATGACCAGGAAAAAATCAGCTCCCCTCCCAACAGGCGCTAGGCAGATTGAAGCTTCCACCATTCTGAGATACCATAGGTTTAACTAGAAAGCTAAAGAAGCACTCTCTCCACCCCGCTAGCCTTCCATTAAATACAAATTCAGGCTGAGCTAAACTCTCTGAGAGCCCAAGCTTTCTGTGACTGAATTAGATACTGAGGTAAGTCCATAGCAGTGACAAGTCCGTCTCAGGCAGGATGGAAATCCAGTACCAGGCAGTGTGGGGAAGCCATTATGTGAGCTGCATTTAAATACTGGGCATTTTTTCAATGGGGATGTTACACAACAGCACTTTGGGGGTTGTTTAAGCTATGATGAAGCTGTGGTGCATGCAGGGCATGTACAGCCAGTGTTCCTGCTAAGGGGTGCCTTGAAAACCAAGTGATTGTGGGTTCTGCTCTGTTTTGGGGTAGAGTGAGAGTTGTTCAAACCTTACAAGACTCTTGCTCTCCAGGTTTGCATGATATGACCATTGCTATCCAGGAATTGCACATGCACTATGGTGCTGTAGCCACTTGTGAATTAATAACACATGGCACCCACTGGTGTACTGTTCAAGCCTTTTCATTGATACCTAACATTGATACCTTTGCTTAGAAATACAGGTAAATAAAAAAATGGAAATCCCAGGGGAAAAGGTGTTCCTACAGTTAGTATGAGTGTAATGAAACTAATACAAGCTAAAACCTTAACAACATTCCCCCTCCCCCTTTAAAACTCTAGGTCTGCAAACCTTAGTATATGCACATCTATGAGTTTTATTCCTGTATGCACAAAAGTCTTTACAGATCTAAACACTGAAAGGTATGAGTCAGAGAATCACATATCCGATCAGACAGGTTCTTAGTAGATGCATGTAGAAAGCCACCATTATCTTACAGTTGTTTTGGCCTTTGAAGCTGTTTCACTTTCATAATTGTATGATTAGTGCTGCTAACAACATTGTGTGACATAAAAGCAAACCATGGGTTAAGTAAGTCACAATTTGCTGTGTATGAGGAGAGAGTGAATGCACTTGTGTAGCACATCAACTACTTATCCTTTTAACCAAATATCCTAGGATCAGGTGGTTATATGTGATGTTCTGAGTTAGTTAGGGGCTAAATAATCCAGGAGTTAACCCACAATCTATTCTTGAGTTCACTATTAGATTGTCTAGCCCCTGACCTTCATATATTACATTCCACCACATATGACCTGGCTGTTCCCAAGTTGTTGATTAACAAGTGGAAGTGAGGAGGTGGCACTCTCACTCACTGTGCACTGATACAGTTACATTCAAACTAGGTGTCTCTGTGCAATCTTGCTGTGCAAAATATGCCAAAATCCATAGCTTTGAAAAAACCCACCAGTCCACAATTCACACAGCACTTTTGAGATAAATTGCAGGCTATTGGCTATTTAAATTGAAAGTATTTCTGTCACCACAGGGGTGTGTACAACCTGCCATTAGCGCCCTTTGGCATGGTGTATGGTATTAAAAAATGGCAGCTATTGAAATCATTTACCAGAATCTCCTCATTCTACAAATTGAAAATGAATGACCCTTCCAGTTCTGACCTTTTAATCACCTTTTAATTGGTCAAAAAGTTGCATTCTCTTTCACCATGCGCACCTCCACCTTTTCTTCCTTTTTTTTAGGTGCTAGCAACAGGCTTAAGTGGCCTATATTCATCTTTGCCTACCAAGCTAGAAGACAAAGGAGAAGAATGGCACTGTCTGCTGAAAGATGACTGGCTTATTTCTCCAGCTCTTGTCCAGTTTATGAACTCCCTTGAATTCTGCAATGCAGTAATACAGGTATTGGACTAAAGAGTGATGTTGATCATAGAAGCAGTATTCTAAAATATAGGTTGCTAGGCTTTTATGGTTATTAGAAATAGCGCTCAGACAATTAATGATTAAATCTAGATTAATGATACTGCAAGTGCTGTGCATATAAGGAAGAATCAACATAATTGGGATTTAGATAATAAACGAGATGCAGGTTTATTCTTATAAACATTATCCACTTCCTAGATGGTTGGCTGAACAACCTTTATTGATTTCTAAAATCAAAGATTTATTTTTCAAGTAAATACTGTGCTTCTTTGAGTTAATTACTCTGCTGCTATACAATCAGATTCTCATAGCAGTAAAATATATGTATGTGTATATACTCCAATAGCTGTGTACAATTTTTATTGTGGTTGAGTTGATCAGTATATTTCAAGAATGCACATTAAATTCTGTTTGGTGCTCTCATGTTCTTTGTTATTAGTTATTCCTTAATTAGATTCTCTCTCTTGATTCCTTCTTGTTCTTCTTTGGTCTACTGATAAAATCAGATTTTATATCTCTTTGATGCTGCTATCAGTATTCATACTGCAGCAAGACTTTATTTTATTCATACAGATCTACTCATTATTATTTGTAGTAGTAGTTGAGTGCTACTCCTCAGTCAAAAGGGCTGCTTTTCTCAGTTAAACAAGATAGTCCCCTGCCTGCAAGTTTACAATGTGCACAGGAATAACACACAAGTAAAAAGGAATGGGAAGGGAAGGTCAGGGGAATTAATTCTTTGAGCAGGATTGGTGGAAGAGCCCTGTTCTACCTCTCACCTCCTTCAGCTCAGCTTGCTGGAATTAGTGAAACTTTAAAAGGTATAACAGGACCCCCCAAACAATTTTGGCCTGGAGGCTCATTTTGAATTTTGACAGTGTGTTTTAAGCACCTTCATGAAATGGTAGCATTTCAAACACTTGCATAAAATAGCAGGGTGGGGTAGAGATGGTCTTCAAGAAACAGAATGCATAATCCCTCATTGGTCTCATTGGGTTTGTTCATTCTCTTTCCCACTGGCTCACACGTTACAGTTAAGCAGTCATGTAGTTTGTTTAGAAAGGTTTCTTTCCAGCGAGACCATTGCCATTAAAATATTTATTTATTTAAAACTTTTGTATGCCATCCCCCATGCAAGGCATCTTGGAATGATTAGTTAGTTTACAGGCCTCTGTTAGCATCATGTTCTCCAGGCAGCCATTGCAATAAAATATGTTGCTGTGGCACATTTTAGTTTGTCTGAGTCCCAAATCACATAACCATTTCCCTGTTTTCTAGGCATCCTTGCTGAGAGGCAAGCTCTGTTCTCTTTTTTTGCTTCATTAACGCCCCCTCCCCACTAATTTACTTGCTAATATAAAGTGGACTTTGCTGTAGCTAATGACAAACTTCACACCTGCACAGGATGAAAAGGAGGCCATCTGTAGTTGTTCAGTGGTCTAGATTTAGACATTTTCTACTCGGGGTAATACTGTGTGTATGCGTGAAATGTGTGTGAAATCACTAATGCTGAATGAACCAGTGCTTCTTTACCAGAAATAATGTTTTCAAGAATGTACAATTGTCATTGAATCAGTGGATGCTTTCCATGACCCATTTCTATTCTGACTGACAGCAAGTAATACTTTTCTGTGTCTAATCTGGTATATAATAACTTGGTTGTTCTAATATGGGTAAGCAACCTGATCTCTAGATTTTGGATCACAACTTCAATAATCTTTGACCATTTCCATGTGACCTGGGGCTTATTGAAATTGTAATCTAACACATCTGGATGGTTTCAGGTTGTCTACTCCTTTAAAGTGACTTCAGCAGTCTGTAGTCTACATTTACCCATTATTAATTTATCAACATGCACAAATAGATTGCATGAAAAACTTTCTGATCTTTGTTTAACTATATTTTCTGCATTTACACAGTCCTTTATATGTTTACCCAGAAGAAATCTGATCTTAGTTTATTGCTCCAGAATAGGCATATGATTTAAGCTATAGTTGATGTTTTAGATTTCCTCATTTATTCAAAGATAGCCAGATGACTTTATGAAAGGTTGATCATTATTTTAATCATATATTCTGTTAAATACGTGATATTTGAAACATACATATGATACTCCAAATACCCTTTCAGTATACTCTTTTACTCCCTCTCTTTTTGTCTCTTACTTAGGTGGCACATCCCCTGATTTGGAGCCAACTTGTGAGCTACATTTATAATGGGTTTCTGGTGCCAGTTATGGCTCCAGCTCTCCATAAGGTCAGTGATATTTTGCATATTTTGTTTGATAAAATGTATTTGCAGTATTCCATGTGTTATGGCTATTATAGGTTTGATGAGGGTAGATTAGTTTGAACTTAAACCCTTGGGCATATTTTCTTTCCTTGAATCACTTCTGTGCTTGGCAGTGATCATAAGAGGAAAAAAATCTTCAGTAAGGTAGAATCATGATTGGCACTATCATTAGATAGAGTAAGACAGTCACTTCAACCAGTATATGATAAGGAATGGGAAGGAACAGTGAAGGATGGAGCTCTTTGTGCCATTCAGCCAGTTGTGCACTCCTTAGCTGGCTAGCTGCCCCCCTCACCAGTGTTGGAATAAGATCCAGCTAGTAGTCCATGACTGCTGTTTGTGAAACTGGGTGCGGAGTGTTCTTTTTTCCTTTGCCTCAGGAAGTGAGATGTTTTTAGCTAGTCCTGGATAGAGTTTTCACCTTAAACCTTATAAATAATCAGATGCAGGCTACTTATATGAAATTGGGCTCTTGCATAGCAAATAATAGCACGTCCCACACTGACTTTTCATGCAAATTTTGTTACATAGCAATATCTGGTTACACTCCGGATATTTGCTATATTATAGTAGGAATGGGTATTTCATTGGGCAAGAGCCTCTGTGTAATAGAACTTGTATTCTGAAAATAATATCTGTACATTATACACTGATGCACAGAGCAACTTTGGTCTCTAATTTTCCTTAGAGCCCTGTTGCTTTTTCTGCTTCATTAATGTGAGTATGAATGTTCCATTCCATTTCAGATTCTCTTGGGAAATGCAAAAATATTTGTGTGCCTGCATTTGTATGGAGAATCTCTGTGTTAGTTCTGTGAGTTATCAGATAGCCAGATAGGCCAGCAGGTAGTTTTACTTAGACTTCCAGAAGGCTTTTGACAAAGCCCCTCACTAAAGGCTCCTGAGCAAACTAAGCAGTCATGGAATAAAGCTGGGGGTAGAAGTCCTCTTATGGATCATTAACTGGTTAAAAAACAGAAGAAAGAGAGTGGGAATCAATGGCAATTTCTTCCAGTGGAGGCATGTAACCAGTGCAACCTCACAGGGTTCTGCATTAGGAGCATTGCGTTTTAGTTTTAGGTTTTAGGAGTAAGCAGTGAAGTGGCCAAGTTTGCTGATGACACCTAACTATTTATGGTAGTTAAAACCAAAAGAGATTGTTAGGAACTCTAAAAGGATCTCTCCAAGCTGAGAAAATGGGCATAAAAAGGGCAAATGTAGTTCAGTGTAAGCAAATGTAAAGTAATGCATGATGAGACAAAAAAAAAACCTAACTTCAGTTATAGACTGATGATCTCCCCTTATGCAAATCTGTGGTGTGACTGCACTTAGAATATTGTGTTCAGTTCTGGCCACCTTACCTGAAAAAAGGACATTATTGAGTTGTAAAAGGTACACATAAAGGCAACAAATCTGATCAGGGGGCTGGAGCAGATCTCTTAGGAGGAGTGGCTGCAGTGACTGGGATTGTTCATCTTAGGAAAAGGTAAGTGGGGGCATGATAACAGTTTAAAATAATGCATGGTGTGGAGAGGGACACATTTTTCTCTTGCCTGTAGCACTAGACCCTGGGGTCATCCCTGGAGCCAAGTAGTGGGAGGGTTAGGACAGATAAATGGAAGTACTTCTTCACACAGCGTATAATTAAACTGTGGAATTCCTTGCCACAGGTAGTGAAGGCCACCAATTTGGATGGCTTTAAAGCAGCATTGGACAGGTTCATGGAAGCTATCAGTGGCTGCTAGCATTAATGGCTGTGGTGCTCTCTCCTCTACCAGAGGTGGTATACCTGCATATACCACTTCCTGAGGAGCTTGGCAGGCAGAGGTCTTGCATCCATCCTACTTGAGGGTTCCTATGGGTAGCTGGTATGCCAAAATGTGTATGGAGTGCTGAACTGAGTGCATCCTTTTTCTGATCCAGCATGTCTTTTCTTATATGCTCATGTTCTTCCTTACTAGCTCATTTATCTTCCCATGAAACTGAATTGTAAGACTTATACGAACAAGTAATTTCTTCTCTTTAGTTCCCTATTGTAATTTTTGTACGTTTCATAAAATTCAGGTTGTTTAACTAACTAAAATAAATTCTTTTTAATAACTGAAGTGAATCCCATTTGAGTGTATATGAATTTGTCTAACTTTAAACTGTTATGGTAGCAAAATTCATAGCCAAAGTATTCATTTCAGATAGTTGAATATCCTCTTTGCTGCTTTCTCTGTAACATAAAACTACAACACTCCTTTTGGACTGTCTTGAACACATTTTCTAAATGAATGTGATGTCCTCCAGCTGCAGTTTATAAATTCATCAGGTTATGCTTTAACGGACTAGAACTTCATCTTGTGCCTGGCACACATCTCAGGCATGAACTAGTATTTCTGCTATGCATTCTTGCATTACTGTAGCAGGAGCATTTCAGCTCTTTAAATGAGAGATCATTGTGACAGTTTCATTAGCATTTGAAAAGTTTCAGTACAACCTGCCATGTAGATAATTAATGGAATTATTAAGATTGCCCAAAACTGTCCTCCTTCCTTTGGATTTCTCAGCATGCCCTGCCATCTTTACCTGTTAGACTCTTGAGTGCTTAAAAAACAACATTCTACCATCTTTGTATCTTACATGCCCTTATGGGTACAAAACAAATACAAATTGAAGTTTATGGATATTTATGTGCATCAAAGTGATTTACATATTTGTGAAGAAACAATGAACCTTGCTTTCTGTGTGCCAAAGCACAAGCAATTCATATAAATTAATTCAATACGAATTACACATAAGTTTCTGGATGAGATTTACTGCCTGTACCATAATCATAACCATAAATGGGAATTCAGTATCAGATCTATTGGTTCAGGTTTCTGCACTTATTAAAGAGAAGAAAGATTTCTGAATGTATGAATAGCACTTTGACCCCTTTCCTTTCTGAATGACATGATAGTACAAATAAATTGGTGTTTCTCTTGTGTTAATTTGGTATGTGATAACATGATAAAAATCCAGTGTCAAAAACATTCATGATCAATTCATTCTTGGATAAGACAAATTAAGACTGCAGTGGCCGAAAGGGCAGCCAGATCCCCAGACGACAGTGCCTCCAGCAAATAATTAGAGCCCTGGAAATACATCTCATTGAATTCAGTGGAGCTTACCACTAAATAACCATATATAGGCTCCAATTCTCTACCCACTTACCTCAGATTAAACTCCACTGAACTCAGTGGAACTTAATATTGAGCAGACAGATACAAGATTGTACTGTCATTGTTCTAACATTGCAGTTGCGTTAGGGGAGACAAGGGAGGAATTGATTTAAATCTGACCAGATGATGACATAACCTCTTCAGTCATAAAGTTTTGCCAAATATGCTGCTGATGCTGCACAGTCCACTAATTTTTGGGCACTCTTGTTGCTCCTGCTACACCTTAAAAGCTAAGACATACGTTGTGGCATAAACTTTCACACCATAAAATTGATACTATTATGTTAATAGAACTGGAAAGAGAACTCACCAATGGGTAGATGTCAGAACAGGAAATAAAGACCAGAACTTAAAGATTTCATGATATTTGGGCTTTCTCTCCCACTCAAATAAAATGGGTAAAAATCATATAAAAATCATAGCTGCCCTTTAGAAAGAACCAAGCCATGTCAGACAGCTGATGCCTTTTTTAATTTGCTTTGTTAATTATAAAATTTAATAAAATGGTGGTAATCTCAAGACTGTCCTTTTCCTTACTATGCAAATATGTGTTGTATACATGTTAAATTTTATACTGTCATTTGTGGTAACTTTAGACTTGTTGGACAGGGAAGGCTACAGTATGCCATCTAGTGGATTTGAGGAAAAGCTAAAACACATGGCTGAAACCAAACATCTGAACAGATGAAATTTGCTTCCTAAATTGTGAAAGTGGGTTCTTTTTTAAATATTGAACAAATGGCCCTTGCATAATGACTTTTGCATTCAAGCTGGACAGCTTCTGGCTAACTTGGATAAGGAATACATTTTCACTATGCTTGAACATCTCTTTTATTTCACAAAACAACTTGTAATAACTGAATAATGGGCTGACAATTATATTATCTAGCTGTCTCACTCACCTCAGAACATTTTATAGAATGAATAAAAAAAGGCACCCCAATAGACCTCAATGATACTTTTTTTCTCTAATCCACCTCCATTTGTGTACACCTATTACAGCATAGTTGTTGCTAACTTTTTTTTGTATTCTTTTTGCTTGTAGAAAAGTGTGGAGTCTCTCTAGAAATTCCTTATTCAAAATTCATGCATTTTTTAATTGAAGTTACTGTAAGTAAGTTTAAGGTCTCATATGTCCTCTGAGACAATCTAAGAAGATTCAACATCTTTATTAATAATCTAGATGAGGAAGTCCAGGGAACAATGATTAAATTGACGGATGACAAAAAACTGGGCGGAATAGCTAACGTCCTAGAAGACAAAAGAAGATCCAGGATGACCTAGGCAAACTAGAATGCTGGGTGGAAAGCAACAGGATGAAATTCAACAGGGACAAATGCCAGGTCCTCCACCTAGTTCCTCTTTGCTCTAGTCAGTCCTCACCTGAAATAGTGTGTTCAGTTCTGAGCACCCTTGTTTTAAAAAGATGTAGAAAAACTAGGAAGGGTTCAAAGTAGGGCAACACAGATGACCCAAGGTCTGTAAACTAAGCCTTATGATGAGAGACTGTGAGAGAGCTGGGCATATTCAGTCTCAAAAAGAGAAAACTATGAGGAGATATGAAAGTACTACCTCAAAGGCTGTCACAAAGAGGAAGGAAAGGACTTCATTCATTCCTGAGTGTAGATCATGGAAAAATGATCTGGAACTGTAGCACACCAGGGTAGACACCAGGAAAAACTTCCTAACTGTCAGAGCAATACAACAGTGGAACCAGTTGCCAAGAAAGGCTGTGGGCTTTCTCATACTAGGGACATTC